CATGCAGAGGTGGTAAACTATTTCACAAGTGACTCAAGTGGCCAAGATGCTACCTTCATACTACCAAGAATTTATTACTAGTCTCTTCCCACTCATCTTGTTGCTCCATTCTGTACGTAAGTGGTTTACAAAAGTCTGAGATAATGCTCACTATTTGCATTGTGGGTAATATATGCTTCACACTTCATTGATTTGTTCTTATTGGATAAAATTTATAGTACGTGATCTACTTGTCCTTTTTGATTCTGGGACTTTTTGGTCCCAGATTTGAGGATCTACTTTTACTTTTTGTACTTTTATTATTTATTTTCTGAGTCTTTGATTAATGGAGCCTAATACCCTATACAGTTCCCAGTTCAGCTGCAACGTTCAGAACCCACCGAATTGCAATTGCATTTGAAGAAATGTCAGGGAAAATTATGCAAAAATAAATATTGCTGGCCCATGGCTCAACATCTCACTCACTGGCTTCAATGCGTGGCCGAGGATTGCGCAATATGTCGTCGTGAAGCAGACCCAACCAGAGAAGGTATATATTTTATTTTATGTGGCAGTAAATAAAAAAAGGACCATTTAGGAGAATGGGGTTTGCATCAGTTACACTAGACATTATAAGGAATCATATGAAATCAACCTCCATAGTCTCTAACTTCAAATATTGACCGAGTTGTTGGGTTTACGAAGTCGAATTTTGTAAAAAGCCATAATGTAAGAAAATAGCAAATTTTTCTCTGCAAACCATTAGGTGGTTCAGAAAAATCACTCGAAAAGCCAAAAATTATTTAGACCTTCTCATTTAAATTGTCTGTATCTCGAAAACCAACCAAATGGTCCTTTTTCCTAGATTACTGCCACTTATTTTGTCTACATACAGATTAATTTCGGTTTTCGTACATACGAATTTTTTCAAGAGAGTTGAAGACCTGGAGAACCGTTTGAAAATGTATGAATTCTAGTCAAATAACATCCTTACGCTTTTCCTGGAATCTAATCGTGTCTTTATTAAAAATCACAAAGAACGATTAGCAACGAAATCCCCCCCCTCGTTTGTCAAATGCTAGCACACTGAAAAATTGTACAAGAGACTCCAAAATCCAAACCCCACTCGAGTTTGCCTAAGAAAAAGTTTCTTGTTTTCGCTAAATTAAAATTCACAAATGTTCGATAAGAATTGTGAAAAAAATAGTTTTTGCCAAATTTTGCTTTTGAATTAATTCGCATTTCGCAGGTTTCCACATTGAAAAGCTGATTTATTCTACTCTTCTTTCTTGGATACCTGCTGTGGTGGAGGCTTCGGTTTCCATTCTCTTTTTGTTGCTTCTCACTCGGTGAAACTAGTTTCGCTACACTATATGTGGTCTTTTGTAAAAATGGTAATGAGGGGATAAAGCATGACATTTTAGGTTGGCCAGTTTAGCAGGTACAAAGTAGAATCATTTTCTCGCGAAGTGTGGAAGTGAATCTTGTCTGTTTCTGTGATTGAAAAATATTTTGCTGTGTGAAATTTTGAAATTTTTGACTATTTTTGTGTAGTGTGTTAATTGAAAAATTAGGTGAGTTCAATGGTTTTAGCTTTCAGGAATCTTGCATTATTTAATTAGTGTCTTATTTTCTCGCGTGAGACTCGATGTGTACATGAATTTTTATTAATTTTGTAGTACAAGAAGTAGATCTTTCGAGAGGATTATATCGTTTCTTTTGTTTAGCTAGGATACATTCGTATCTGCAGAATTTTCAAAAGTCATTACAAAGTAAAAGAAAATTTTGGCAACCACAATCAAATATACCTGTCAGTGTTATTTTTTAAGGATTTTAAGGGGTGATAAAACCTCAGTCTTTATGGCTTTACGTATAAACCAGGCATTGTACGTTTAAAATGATTTATTTTACATTTCAGTCATTTCATTTCACGTAAATGTAAAGTATATTGTAAAATGAGGGTAAAACGTAAAATAGATGTAAAATGGCCAAAAAATTAATAATTTGATAATTTACGAAATTAAAAATAAATTTTGAGTTGAGTAACTGAACTAAATTTTTTTTCAATGGTAGAATGAAATGAACATAGTGTTGAAAACGTTTTTAGTTCAAATTTTATGGAGTCGTTCAAAAATAATAATTTTTAGCCTGAATTCTTTTTTTTTCAAATTGATTCATGTTTGGCTCTCATAATTCAATGCAAAATCCAAAGGCACAATCGTACGATAAAATCAGAAATGAACTATTTTTTATAAGTTACTCATATTATGGAATTTTAGATTTGATGATTATAAAAATGAATTATGAAAAATACATTTATTATTGACAGTAATTACAGTCGTAAAAAATGAAATAAAAAACCATAAATTTTTACGTTGAATATTTGACAATTTACATGAAAAATGCAAAACGTATTATACTCGCCACCCTGGTTTTGATATTGCTCTACTCTGATTGGTTGACGAATGCCAACAAAAGAACATAATTCCACGAGAAGTGGACTTCGACCTTGGATTTCGACTTCTTGGACTCGTGGTGGACTATTGTAAATCGTCGGACGTCGATTAGATGCACATGTGTTCAGCGTATCTCAAGCTCTTCTGTGTTTTCATCTAACTTCGGTTTTCATAGAAATTGCAAATTCCATTTTTTGAAATTCGAATATTAAATATCGCCTCTCAGAATTTATCAAATCATATTTCGTTACTGTACGATAATTATTGTATTTCTATTAAAGGCAATGTTTGAACATTGGTTATTAATTTTGTACTTTTCTTGCCAGGAATCAAAAAAGAAATCATGCAGCTACTAGGCAAGGAGCAAGCAACGTCGAACGGAATAATGGATTTTTTAACCCCCGAAGGTGCAGCCGTTATACTGGGATATTATGTGGAATATTACTTCGAAGTGTTTTTGGCTTATAACGAGTTGCGGAAGGATCGTGGATTGAAGGTACGTTTCTTTTCGTGTATTTCAACTTCTGGCTGATTCTCAGATTTCGACACAATTCCTGTCCCAGCTGAAAATATCAGTCCAAACTGAAAATTTTTTTACAGCTACACTCAGCTTGTCAAGATCTGCTCGACTCATCATTCAGATATGACTATATAAATGAGCCCCTCAGAACGAGAGTGGTGTTAGTCACACTTTTCCATTTTGAGAAATAAGACTTTTGTGTTTGAATTTGCCATAAGTCCTGTGTTAAATTTGTGACTTCAAGAAGCCATATCTTGTGGAAATTGAGAGAATTGAGATTAATCCTTTGGCAAGGTGAAAGTTCTCCCCAAAAACAAACCGATGCCACCCCTAACTCAATTTTTTGGTTTTTGGACTTGCACCACTCTCATTCTGGGGGGGGGGCTCAAATAATCGCTATTGGTAACATTTTGTCCCAAAAGTGGAAATGTCTATAGTCGTGGACTGTCCAAACTCTGAGTTTCAAACTTATGCTAATTATATTTTTCATATATGTGTTTGTACAATGTGCCTTATATTACTCATTATTTTCTGTGTGTATTTGAATAACTCTTATAGAGAAAATATTTTGCCTGTGTCTCCTTTTAGGTAGCATAGGGTGGAAATACTATTGTCCCCAAAAATTTTATCTTTAGTCGTGGATTGTATTGAAGCCTATGAATGGAGAGCTTAAGTACAACTCGGAACTCCAAAATAGGAAAAGTAGCCTAAATTGGACCACTTCCTTATTTGGACCACCTTGGTTTCTCAAAAGCTATCAGAAATACCTCCAATTCCTTTTTTTTTTTGCAGATGCAATACGAGGCAATACCTTGGTTCTAATGAATGAGTTATGGTTGCAACTCTGTGCATTATTTTTAAAACCAAAAGTTTGAATTGCATACAAATTCAACAGTAATTTTTAATTGAACTCTTTCAACTCTCACTCCTGAGAGTAAGTAATACCAGAATATTGCAGTCTTTCAGCTAGTAGCACACACTTTTGGACATATTTTTTGAAAATAAATTGAATAAATAGCTTGAAGGTATGCTTTTGCCAAGTTCAAACTCCGTGATTTGTGTACAAAAATGAAGAAAAAGAATAGAAAATAACAACTTTGAGCTGAAATTTTGGCTAAAATAAGCTGAAATTCAAAATTCTAAGTCTATAGCATCCAGCAGTCATCCTTCGACTGCAACTCCTCAAAATTCCGATTCATTTGGATAAAAATTGAAGGCCGTATCATTTGGATACGGAGCCTTGTTTCGAAGACAATTTTTCGCCCGTGAAGCATACCCTTAAACGCAGCTATGTTTATGAAACAATACCATGGTTTCCTAAAATGGTCCTCTGCGAGATTCCTAAGTTGGACCATCTTTATTTTGACAATTTTTCAAGTCTGCAAATATTATCAACCTTTTTTTCTTGATAATTAAATCATATTACATCCAACAACATTGTAATCACAAGTGTGAAAATTAATCAGGAAGAATTGAGCCCTCCAGAACCAGAGTGGTGTAAGTCCAAAAACCAAAAAATTGAGTTAGGGGTGGAATCAATTTGCTCTTGGGGAGAACTTTCACCTTGCAAAAGGATTAATCTCAATTCTCTCAATTTCCACAAGATATGGCTTCTTGAAGTCACAAATTTAACACAGAGCTTATGGCAAATTCAAACACAAATGTCTTCGTTTCTCAAAATGGAAAAAGTGTGACTTACACCACTCCCGTTCTGACGGGCTCAATTATTCAGCGAGTTTCTCAAGTTGAACTGGTCCAATTTAGGAAACCATTGTAAGAAACTAAATTAATCATGTAGTTGCCTAATTTGGACTAGTCCAGGATACCTAATTTTTAAAATTTTTTTTTAATAGCAATCCAAGGACCAATTGTGGCCAGTGGACAGAGAAAGATCTTCAGTGGGTAATAGAAACTTATTAACATTTTTTCTTTCATTTGAAGCAAATAATAATGAAATCAAGTTCTTTGCTCATGAATATTATTACTTTTCACCACTGCTTATTTTCAAACTTTTTCTGATCCAAATTAAGATACTGGTCTGAATTAAGGATTAGGTCAAATAAAGCACCTGTTGCTCAAATTGGACCACAGATCCTTCTTTTTGGAGTTTCTTATAAAATCTATGAATGTAGGTACACAATTGAAACTTTCAGGAAAGACAGAGAATATGGGTTTAATCTTTCATGAAAAAATTTGTATTTGTCAAAATACCTCTATTTGAGCCTT